CAATATTCAAACAATAAGATAGATTAATTAAAAAAACAATAGCAATAATCATGTATATAATACTTATTGTGTACTAGGCTCTGTTCTAAATGTTTTACAGGAATTATTTCTTTTGATTCATTCAACAACTCACAAGAATCCCTGCTCTGCCGATGGGAGGGCAATAAAACTAAGTGTGAAAAGTTACACAGTGCCCAAGATCACTTGGTTAGGAGAGTTGGAACCAAGACACAACACCAACCAGAGTGAGTTTACAGAAGCTAATACATAGTTATAAGAGGCTGGGATGTGACTTTAGGAATTGAAAAAGTTTTGTCCTGTGGTCCTCACTCTGCCTCGTTTCCAGTCTTGTGTTGACCACTTCCCCATTTGGCCTTCTGGTTGCATAACTTTGTTTCAACAAGGTATTTCCATCTGAGCTGCTGGGCCTGGCCTGCTGTCACTGCACTGGCAACAATGTTTGTTTTAGCACAGCCCTACCCGGTGTTTAAAGTTATGTGGGACTCCTCTTTCGGAGAGGATCAGTGCTATGCTTAGGGAACAAAAAGCGCCCATCTCCTGACTGCATCCTGGGTAGAATTAAATTGAAAATGTCATTGTTTAACCAATTTGTACTAACCACTTGAAGGTGGCAAATGCTTCAGTGAAATGACGTTTTTCTTTTGGTATTATATGTTTTCCTTTTGCTGACATTCATGAGCACTTGTTTTACTCCAAGTCTTGTGCTGTGAGCTTTACATAGATATTTCCATTGGGTTTTCATGCTGTGCCAAGCTGTGGTTCACTCACCATCCCCGATTCATTGAAGAGGAAGCAGAAGCATGGTGACCTGCTCAAGCTTGCATGACTGGGGAGTGGAGGAGGCCGCAGGGGCCTTGTGTCACAGGGCTGGCTCTGTCATCAGTAGGCCGTGTGAAGGGGCACACTGCTGAGCCGCTGTGGACTTGTTGCTCCTTTGCAAAGGGTTGAACTAGATGGTCCCTGTGCTCTGCATTCCCTGACCAATATCACGGTATCTCAAGGATGCAACCCATCCTGGGCACTTAGGGAATCCAAGAGTGATATCATGGCCTCTGACTCTGTAGGGAGTTTATAGTCTAGTTAGGGACACCATTGGTGGTATAAGAAAGTGAATAATTAATTTGTCAAAGCTTGATTTAGAACAGAGCATAAGGATTCTGGAAACACAGCTGAGTGAGTCTTGCTTAGTGGAAAATGGATCATGTTAAAGGGAGAGCTAATCTTCCTTAATATTTACCAGATATGACTGCTCTGTTAGGCAAGGTTCAGACGTGCTAATCTGGTAGACACATCATCACCATCTGACTCCTAGAACAGCATTTCTGCCCACGCCCACCCCCAGGCCAAGAGCCCCGGGCAGCTTGCTGATGTGCCATATTTCAACGAAAACACGAACACTTATTTTTTCCTCTACATAATATGCTTCCTTATGTTGCAATATTCTCTCCACGGTACTGTTTATGGGAAGAAGTTGTAGGTTGGAGAGGCAGAGATCAGGGAACAGAAGTCTAGTTGGGATTGTGTAAACGTCACTGAGGAAGCCAAGGGGTGGAGATGCTGACTACGCAAAAACAGTTTCTTGAACCATGAAGAACTGGTTGTGAGCAGTGTCTACACAGCTTGCCTGGGTTTACAGCCATGACCACAGGAAACCAAGCTCTTAGATTTCCTTCTGTAAACCAGCACTGCAAACTACAGGGTGTTTTAAAGTGTTGAGCTTGGGTTCGCTCAGTGAACTGAAAGGCAAGTCTTGGGCTGGTTTTGACTCATGACTGTGGCATCTCAGAGCCTGTGGAGAGAATATTGCAGCCCAGAGTCCTTGGTCTCCATCTTCTTCCTTTTTCTGTTGGTTTTCCCAAGGGTTCCGTGCCAGCTCTGTTGCTCATTATATACTTCAAGGGCAATAGCTTGCATTTCCAAGGTTTCTATGGTCAGCGACTGGTTAATGACTCTCAACTCCACAGGGCCATCTGGCTCATAAGCTCTGAACCTATGTATGCAGCTGCCTTTTAGGCATCTTTGCTCATAGCCTGACGGGTACATACTTAAGTAAACTCCCAGAAACCTGTTATTTCTCCTACTCCTCCTAACTCAGCAAATGACCAACACTAAATTCATTGTTTCCCTTGTCAGTCAGCCATTGGTCCTCTGGAACATCTGTCTTTCCAATGCATGTGCATACCCTGGCACAGGGTCTAGCATCTCCCTCTTATGGAAGCCCTTACATGGGTTCCCCGTCTTTCTGTCTTGCAACCCATTCTCCACACAGCAGCTAGAGAGCTACAGGGCACGTAGGCATAACTCCCTTACTGAAAACTCCTCAAAGGCTGTCATTTGTTTTGGGGATTTAGCCTACATTCTTCATTCTTAGGTGGGCCCTGCTGATCACTTCAGTGGTCTCCGGGCTCAGATCTCATTAGAGTTTCCCCATAGATTTCAAGATTAAAGGGGGCAGAAGAACATTATTTTAAAATGAAAATTAGCAACACACCCACTACCCCACTGTACCATATTTCTGAATTCAAAACATCCCAACAGAATCCAGAATTATGTTTTTAATGCTGATGAATCAGAGTTTCCTGCTCAAAATCAATGAGAGAAAGACAAATGACCTAAAATGACCACAGAAGATAACCAGGGAAAAAAGATGATATCTTTCCTGTCCTCCCAGCCAGGACTGGCCACTCCCCATTGGTCCCTCACTGAACCTTGCCTGTAACGCTCATGATATTTTCCACTATGTGGCATTTATTTATTTAATCTCTTCCTTTATACAGTCAGCAATTGGAGTTCAGGGAAGATATGTCTGCCATTATCTTCTGGGTAGCACATATCTTCTTTGTGTAGGGCTAAGCAGATTCTCAGCAGATGAATATAAAATTGTTACATCACAATATTGTAGTCTTTCCCAGTAGTTGCCAGGAACATTTCTTTCATTAGCATTTTTTATCTAACAAAATTCCTCCATATTACAAAGAATTAAAGCCTTTGGTCTCACAAAGTGATAAAAAAAAGAAAAATTCCCTAAGAAAAAAATTGACCAAGACATTGATAGGTAATTTCTAAAAGAAACAATACAAATAACCATTAAACATGGCAGATACTAGATTTCCCATATTAATAACTAAAACTATTGCTTTCAGTATGTAGAAACAGGCCCCCAGGTATAGTATTGGGGAAACGGTCAGTATGTAAAACTTTTTTGGATAAAAAATCAAGCAACAGTAATTAAAAATTTAGCATTTGACCCAGCAATTCTAGGAATTCATCCTACAGGAATAATCAGATAAAATTATCAAATTTTTGTGAAAGAATATTAATTGCAACATTGCTAATAATAAATAGTCAAAGTGAAAATAAGCAAAACTTTCATCATTAGTTTGGTACAATCATGGTACACCCATACAAACAAACCTCTAGAGATCTGCATTTTTTACATGGAAAGATGTTCATTGCATATTAAGTGGATGAGACAGATTGTAATGCATTTGATATATCTAGCCACCCATCCTTCCTTTCATTCTCTGATTACAGAAAAAGTGAAAGAATGTATATCAGACCTTTAACACTGGATTAAAGTGTTATCACTGTATAAAGTTGTTATCCAGTAATTATCACTGGATAAAGTTCACATATTAATTAGTGATGTCTGTATTTTATTTTATATTTTGAAGATTTTTCAGTGATTAGGTATTGTACTTATAATAATAGCAAAAACAATAAATTAGCTAATTTGGGAAAAAAGTTTTTCTTTTTGCTTATTAAAGGAGCAGTTTAAGAGATTTCTGTCTTCTACCATGTGGGAGACATGTGGCCACATGTCTTGTTATGAGGGACTTCAGTTTGGTGTCTTAGCTCCTCTGGGTGGCAGGGTCTCATATCAGATGGAGTTTGTGCTGGTCTTTTGATTTTCATCTTTCTACTAATTTAAAAAGATAACATTTTTATGGCCTATTTCTATCCCAGCAATAGGAAAGAAATTACCCTAAAATTTCAACTCTTTATGTATAAAAATTGTATAGATAAATGAAACCTATAAATTATAGACACTTTATCCATTCATATTATCTTCATCACCTATGCTTCTTTCAAATATCCTTTTCACTTGCTACCAAGACAAAATAACATTTCCAATTTCCCTTTTGCTCTTGCAATGTATTCTTGTTATTCTTAGCGAGCTCTTGGTTTCTACTGATCAATGATTTATTCTCTTCCTGATCAGAACAGGTTAACTAATAAAACTTCACTTTTCCTTGGTATCAATGGTATGATGATTTGTCTTTGGCTCCTTGAATTTCCAGCTTTTCACTTAGGGAATGGAAGTACTTTTCCCTTTGCTCCACCATATTGATGACTTTATGTTGATTGGATCTGATAATTTGTAAGTGTAAAAACATTCTGGTAACTAAGAGATGAACTCTTCAGAGATAAAATCTGTGTCACCTCAGCCAGCAATGTGCCTAGACCAGCATTAGTGCTAGCTGAGAGTGAATGCCATCCAGAAAGTGTAGAAGAGGACCAAGAGGATGGCTATCAGTCACGGCCTGGGTCCCAACTGCAATGGAGTTGTTGAAAGAAAGATGTGTCTTTTCTCATTAACTGTGCTGTTAGCTTTTCCCCCAAGAAACTCTGAGCACTGAAAACACAGTGGCAAGGCTGAAGTGAACGTATCAGGACAATGTGGACAATTCTGAGTGGTGCAGGGGATGGTCTAACTGGGCAGAATTCCTGCTCCCCAGAGGTCCTAGGACCTACTTTTGCTGTTGCTATGAATGCCACTGTGTTCTTTGTGCTTTGGCTTCTGATTGTACCCACAACCTCTCTTTGGAAGGCCACCCCCTTGGGAACTGGCCATGTCACCCACAGTGCAGAGCCAAGATGTAGCTAGGGCTTTCATCCCCTTGGGAACCCTTTCGCCAAGAGCTGACAGTTTGTCAGCAGGAAGCCCGGTTCCCTTGTTTCTGTGAGGACAAACTCACAAGTCTCTGCCTTGTAAACTTCATTTCAGTCACAGCGTCATTTGGTTTCTTCCGTTCCCCAGCCTGCCTTCCGCATTCCTGGGGCCAGTTTCTTCTGGGAGCCCATCCTCACCGATCACTTGCACAAGGACCTTCCTCTCAGGGCCTGCGTGGAGGATAATAGATAGTGTTCCCTGATGAATTGCCAGTGTCAGGTACTGCCACAGAGCTTTTCACATGCCCTGCCCCACCTAGTCCTCCACAAGGCCTTTAGGTGGACGCTGTACAATCATCCTCTTGGTTGGCTTTCTTAGACTTAAGAGGTCAGACTCTAGAGTCCAATAGCCTGGGGTCAATTTCGGTTCTGCCAGTTACCAACTGCGTGATCTTGGGCAAATTCCACTCCTCACCTATACACTCCTCACAATAATGGAATCTGTTTCACTGGTTGGTTATGAACATTTGATGCATTGGTGTTAGAATGCTATCTAGATACTTATTAAATGAACTAATACTTCACACATGGGGCAGTCCAGACTTACAATGATGAATTAACTTCCTCAACATCCCCCAGGTTAAGTGGGAAAATTAGAATTCAGACCTACATCTGTATGATTTCTTAACCCAGCCTCTTAGCCATGACTGCCTGCCAGGTCTGATCAGACCCACTGCCTGTTCTTTTTCCTTCGTATTTCTCGAAAAGGCTAGTTTTCTCTGAAGCTCCTGGCTCATTTTACCTTGCCTTTGCCATTACTGTCTTTCTCAGCAGGAGGACACCGAACCTCTTGGAGTGGAGGCCAGCTGACTGTGGCCACAGAGGGGTCACTGGTGCTAATTCTCCAGGGATGGTCTCTACAGACCTATGCTTTGTTCCAGTACCCCCCACCCACCCCAAAAGCAGATTCTCCTTCACTATGGAAGTAATAACTTAGAAATACTTTTTTTTCTAATTCAAACATCCTTTTTCTTTTCCTAATTGCAAAGGCAATTTGGGTACTAATTTAAAACATGTGGAAACATGCAAGGGGAAAAGGGAAGTGAAAAAACTCTCACTTGCTGCCCATGTGGCTTTCTGAGGCTGCTTCATCCATCCAAGCCTTGACTCACTGGGGCCAGAGCTGCACCTCCTTGCAGGCTCTGCGATGACACACCTGGTAGGCCCAGCCAATGCCCTTATAAGGCAGCTGCTATGCCTGGCCCTGGCCGCTGCCCTGGCCTGCATTTCAGTCCTGACAAAGCAATGTCCCTGGCCTGGGAAGGGCGGGGGACAACTTGCTATTAATTCTCTATAGCTTCAGTCAGGAGGCCCTACTTCCTCTTCTATTGAATTGAAAATGAATAATCTAATTTGGGGGAGACTATGGGGAATGAGGCCATTTATTTCCATGTTAGGCATTTAGCAACATTATTGGGCAGCTGCTATGTGCCAGGTAAATAGCCCCGTCTCTAGTTATAAGGAAGGGAGCAGGAAGGGAGCAGATCTAGTTGCAGTGCCTGGATCCAACATGATACTTCCTTCATGTGTGTCTGGTGAGGGGAAAGGGACCTCAAGGTCCCTTCAGGTTCCAGGACTTGGGACCAGAAAGTAGAATAAGGGAACATTCATGATTAATGTCATATTTATCCCTGTACCGAGCACAGTGATTTATATACACTACCTCATTTATTCCTCAGGGACTAAACACTGACTGAAAAGTAAGTATTGGAGTCAAAGTGAAAGTCCCCTAAAATGTCTACCCCGGTTAATCTTGTTTTTCCTCACATCCCAAAGCCAGGCAGGCTGTGGGGCTTTTGGATTATTTACATTTTAACCCCAAGGGTTATTTCCTGTTTCAAATGTCTGGCTCAATCCCAAAAGTTTCCTTCGAATGCTGATACCCAAATGACTTGTCCTGACCAGTGGCGGCTGCTTGACTCTCAGGACTGCCTATGCTACCCGCTTCTGGTACTAAATCACTGCCTTCAGCTTACTGCTCTCCAGGCTCCCAGGCCGTGACCCCACATGGCCTCCTTTGGCTGTTCTGCTCAGACCCAGTAGCTCTCCTGGGTAAAGGACCAAGATTAGTTTGCTGTCTGAGGTTTCTTTTGGAGAATGGGTGCTGCAGAGTAAGGACTCCAAGGCCCAGATCGGCTCCCCTGCGATGGGTTCTCTCCTGTCTCTGCTTTCCCAGCTCCCAGCACGATGTCTCTGTCTATGAGAACGAAGTGCACTGGCTGGCTTCTCTGGGTTTCAGATGTCGGCCTCCCCCCGCCCCAAGCTCCTCCAGCCTCATTCTCCTTCTCCTTGCTCTCTCCACCCTGGCCACATTGGTGTCCCTACTGCCCCTCACACACACAAAGTAGGGTTAAAACACCAGATACTGACTTAAATTTGAGTTTCAGATAAATGATAATTAACTTTTTTAGTGTCAGATTAGTTGTCATTTCAATGCATGTCATGCCCAAAATTTATGTTGAAATGTAATCTCCAGCACAATAATATTTTGAGGTGAGGCCTGTGGGAGCTGACGAAGGAATGAGCATGCAGCGTCATAGCTGTAGTTAGGGCTGTGGAGAAGTGCCTCAGGGAGTGGATTTACCTCTTCCATTCTTCTTCTGTGTCAGGACACAGTGTCTGTTCCCTCTGGAGGATGCGGCAAGGTTCCACCCTAAAAGCAGAAAGTTTGTGTCCGTCCTCACCAGATGCTGGGACTTCAGCACCTCTGTCTGGACTCCTAGGCTTCAGAACTGTGAGAAACACAGTTCTGTTCCTTGCAAATCACACAGTTTGTGGTATTTTGTTGTAGCAGAACAACAGACTAAACCAAGTATGTCTCAGAGTTTGCCTGGGACATATGCTAAAATATTCATTGTTTATCTGAAACCCAAATTTAATTATAGGTGTAAATTTTCTTTTTCCCTTTTTCTCTTTCCCTTCCTCCTCCTCCTCCTTCCTTTTGCTAAATGTGGCTATGTTATATGCCAAGCTTGTTTCTATCACTAGGATTTTCTTCCCCTGAAGACACGGCTCTGTCCTACCTTGACTTTGGCCTCTGCCAAGATGCCTTTCCTCAAGTAGACTCTTCCCCTGATCCCACATCTGAAGTCCATCTGCAACCCTCCGCCTGGCTCTTGTCTCATTTCCTTCACAGCCTTATCCTGCTTGATGTTACCTCGTATGTTTGTTTTCTTATTTGCCTCCCGCCAGCAGGAGCTCTCCAGGAAGTCAAGGTTTGTGTCCTGTTCACTGCCATTCTCCCACTGTTTAACAGAGTCAATAAAGTGGTCATCCAGAAACTATTTCTTGAGTGAATGGCTTGTTATGCATGATCAAGTGAGGAAAAGTTTGAGTTTCCAGGTCAGCCTACGAAAGAGAAGTTAGGAGAAGGTTCTGAGAGTATCGGGGAAGAGCGGGAATGAGGCAGAGAGTGAGACAGAATGAATTACAAGAAGAGACAGGTTATATCTCAGGGTCTCTGTGCTCAGAAATGCTTCAGGAGAGCACACAGCCTGCTGGATCGCATTGCCAAGCAGGGCAGTACAGTGTAGAGTTTCAGCACTCCAATTCACAATCTGAGTCTGGACTCTCCCATTCATTTCTTGTCAGACTTCCAGTAGTTCATTAACCTCTTGAGGCCTCAATTTCCCTAACTGTTGATGGAAGTGTATAAATGAGATACTATGTGGAAAGTACTTAACATAGCACCTAAAACCTTGCAGGTACGTAACAGAGCAGAGCTGTGAATGTTATGCCCATGGACAGCCACACTCCTCATCATGAAATTCATACTCATGGAATTCATTACCTCTTTAAGTTTTGCTGACTTTCACCTGATGATTTCACTTTTCAAAAAGGAAACATTGTTTTGTTGTTTTTGCATTAAATCACTGAAGAAGAGTTGTAGAGGTGGGGGGGATCGTGATTGTAGAATGGCAGGCCAAGTGTGCTGTAGGCACGGGAAGGCCAATGAGGCCTCCCGCCAGCTGAGTGACTCTTTCCCTCAAGCCAGTCTCACTGTAGGAGGATCCAAATTTAGCCATGGCACAGGGGTAAGGCCGTTGCTGCCCCGGGGCGGTTGAGATTTCTAGGAAATAATTGAAATTGTGAGTGTTAAACCCAGGGATGGTAAGGGCCCATTTCACCGAGCACACAGGACAAAATACAACAAAATACAACAGTTAATGCAGAAGCTGGTCTGGTTTTGATGAGGACTAGCTCTGTAGCCCTGTGCCTTACTTAACTTTTGATCCTCTTCTTCTGGTGGGAAAAAGGGTGATAACTCCTGCTGTCTTTCTTATAGGTTTGGATGACTGTAAAATGAAATAGGGTATGACACACAGCTTTGGCAACTGTTAACTACTATATAAAGTCCAGGATCATCTGATGTCATCAGCATTGTTTGCAGGGTGGGGGGCTTGGTTGGCCTACTGGGGATGGATAGTTCCACGAACGACTTGTCACCCACACCCTGCACCTCACAGATACACACCCTCTTCCTGGCGCCGGGGTAAAATACCAATCAGTGATGTGTCTCCGTGGGGTTACATGACACAAGGCGATCACACTCTGGATCCCTGCCACTGCATTTGGGCCCACGAGTATCTGCCAGATGTGGGCTTCCAAGCATACAGCCAATGCAAAGGCAGGAAATTAGCACTGGCTCTGAGTAAACATCTCTGTTCCACATGTCCAGAACTCAGTGCTTGGCTACATTAGTAATGTATTAGTCCACTTCTCTAGACTGGACACCACACGTGAAAAGTCCCACAGTCCCCAGCACCAGCAAGAAAAACAGGGCTGGGCAGCCTTTGCTGCTCCAGCCTCAGCATTTCTGGTCAGTTCTCAAGTAGAGGTTGTCCAGCAGCCTCATGTTACAGGCAGAAGCACTCAGACAGGGACAGGATGTACCCAGTCCATGGCTTCGGCCTGTGGTCCAGGATCCGGGCTAACCTATGAAGCCACATCACCCCTGACAACCAAAATGCCCTTCCCCCATTTGGATGGTCACTGGTCAGCAACACTATATCCAGCCCGCAGCGCTGTACTGAGCTGCAGGAGGCAGGGGCCTTGCCTTAGGCCTTACAGCGGCATGCATGTATCAGACAGATAGTAACCAAATGACTATGGGGACGAGGTGCTAGAAATGCACTGGTGAGCAGGACATGCTTTGAATTTCCCTTCCTCTGTGGAACTTATTCTATGGGTAGAAAACAATACTTAGCTAGATTATGAGGTACATCAACAGATGAGAGTGATGGGGGAAACCACAGTGTAGGGAGGCAGAAGTGAGTAGAGGGAGGACAGAGCCCTGGGTTCCACCTCAGCAGGAGAAGGGGTGCAGGCCTCAGTGAAAAAGTAGTGCTTGAGTAAAAGGGGTGAGCACATTCTATGGCGCCGGAGCCCAGTGAGTCAGGGCAGGAGAAGCTGAGGAAATAAGCAGGCCAGACCAGGTGTGCAGAGTCATCCTGCAAGTGGCAGCAAGAGAAAAGTGGCTCAAAATTGGCCAGTGGCAAGGCCTGGCTTTGGGGCCTTGAAGGCTACAGAATTTGGGAATATCTTTAAGAAAAAGCATATGAAGTTAGGTATGGGATGTTGGAAATGCAGTGTGGGCTTCTGCGTCTAAAGTTCCCTAGCTCTTTTGGGTGGAGAGATGGCCCCAGAGGCTGGGCATGTGGGGCATCTCCAAGGAAGCCTGTGTCTTCCCTCCTTCCTTCACTGTAGTGCTGCCTTTCTATGGCACCTTTCCTCCCTCCAGACTTCCTGTGACATTCCTCTCAACTTGAGTGTGAATGAAGACAGGGAGAGCCTCCAGCCAGGAGCCACAGCACATCTCAACTCGGCCCAGAGCCGCACTGGTCAGCATCCAGCCTGCAGGAACAACAGCAATGTGGGGATGGCAGGGGACTTTCTCCTAGCAAGCCAAGGATGGGAATCACTTCTCTGAGAGGACATTTATAAAAAAAAACTTACTGGTTCTATTTCCATCCAGGAAAGAAATGCAGAGGGCAGGACAATACTCACTGCAAAAACCACTCAGGGGCCTCCCCAGGACCAATCACTGTAATCCAGGGAGTTGGGTCCCAGAATGGTGAACAGGGAAACTCCTGCAACTCTCCTTCAGAAACTTGGACGGGATTGGGAGGGGAGGGGAGCAAGTGGGAAGAGGGAATGTGAGGAGTTATTTAGAGGCCAGTTGTTAACCATGAGCAGAGGGGAGAGAAAGTAAGTCATATAAAGGAGCACCCACCTGCTCCTCTATGATGAGTCTACCAAGGGGCCTGGTTAACACAAACCACACACTTGCCCCCCTGCCTCCACCCATTCTCCTTCTCATCATCACTTTTCTTCCCCCTCTGCTCTCCTCCCGTTCCCTTCCTTTCCTCCTTCCTTCCCCCTTCCTTCTTTCCTTTGCAAGAAAAGATACCATTTAAAAGTAGCCAATGTGCTTATATTTTTCCCAAACAAATAAACAAATTCTTGATAGTAATAATAATAGTGCAAGCTGCTAATTCTGTCTAGTTAGAGATATTTAAACAAATTTGGGGATATGTAGAGATTTTGATAAATTTGTTTAATATATACAATCATATATTTATATATTATACAATTAAACATTATATATACTTAATATATGTAATCACTTCTATACCACAAATATCATCCACCTCCCGCTAAGCTTGCAATATCAAATCTGTATCTCTAGCCTGACTTTGGGTCACTTGCCAGTAGGCTCAGTCTGTCAGTTCTCTGTCTACACAACAGCCGAGGTGACCTGTCTCAGAAGTGCACCACTTGCCTACACCTAGGTAGGAATCTGCAGTGCCACCATTATCCTCATCAGAAGTCCCAAACATTTGAAAATATAAGTCTTCTCTCAAATGAAAATTACATTCAACACCAATAGAAGCAGCAAATGAAATGTCCTATTTATAGATGTGCATGATTTGAACACACAGTCAACCATTCTGAGCAATATGGCTATTTTGGAAGTACAAACTTTTGACCTTATAATTATAGTCAGGGGTGCAGCTGAGGTTTATATTAGCCTCGGAATATGATTTATTCCTATACTTGCTTCTGTTGCCCTGTGCTGAGAAAATTTGATTCACAGCAATAAGTTGTAAGAGGAGATGTTCTAAAGTAGAGTCCCCAACCACCAGACCCATCAGTGGCATGTTGGGAACCAGGCTGCACAGCATAGCAGCATCATTAGCATTACTGCTGTAGCTCTGCCTCTTGTCAGATCAGTGGCTGCAGAAATGCACATGTGAAGAACTTAGGTTGTATGTTCCTTATGAGAATCTAATGCCTGCTGATCTGAGATGGACACTAGCACTGGGGAGTGGCTGCAAATACAGATTAACATTGGTAGAGAGGACTGACTGCACAGAGAACATAATAAATCAATTGCTTGTAGACTTATAAATTTGTTTAAAGGGGATTTTAATTTAACTCTATCAGTGAGTAGTGACAATTAAGCTGCATCTAGTGGAAGGCTTACAGTGCCAAATGAGTTGCTGTACTTCAATTGTACAGTTGGATCTAGTATTTACCACTTCTGCCCATGCCTCTTTCTTGCACTATGCACTTATCTCAGTCACAGTTTTAATAAGCTCACAAGCTATCCCTAGTCAAAAGGAGTAAAAAACAAATGTCACTGGAAAGCTTCTTTGAACAGGACAAGAGACCAAGAATAAACTGTTAATAACAACCAAAAAGGCTGCATTTGAAAGAAAATTCCAAGGGTCTTACTTAAATTACAGATTCATTGCTATAGGTGGTTTATATTTGTCAAGCTCACTTTGTGTAATAAGTAGCAACTTGCTAACCAATGAAGCCATGAAACCTTCAAAACTACATTACAATGTGTAGACAAGCACCCTGCATTAAAAAACAGGTGTTGGAATTTATCAAAAGAAAGAATGTGAACAGAAGCAACAGAAGCAATTATGAACGCCACCACTTCATCAGATATGTCTGCACTGAGAATATGTTTCTTAGTGGCTAAATGCATTGCTGAAGCTAAGAAGCTGTTTACTATTGGTGAAGGGTTGATCCTGCCTGCTGCTAAGGACACTTGCCATGAAATTTTAAGTGTACATTTCAAAAGGTGGCACATGCTT